CTTTGTGCGCCTGTATTTTGCCCTCCCCAAGGAGGTGTCCTATCTGCTGTGAAATTTTTGATCCCTTCAGAACTGTCAGGCTAGAAAGAGGGGGATACATAAGTGAGTACGAATTGGCTTTTTCAGAGAGGGCCTGGGATGTGGGATATTTAACCCAGACACGCCAATCCCCCTTCTCCCTCTGAGATCTGGCCAGTAAGGCTCTTCTCACCCCAATTAGGAAGGAGGCAAAATGGCAATTTAAGTGTTTCATTGAGTGGAAATATCAGAAGTACATAGGAGACCGCGAACTTCATAGAATGAAAAGGAAAGGAAGAAGAAGGTCCAAGAAGGTAAGCAAGATAGGGGGAAATGAATCTAAGGCAACTGTGTTAGAGTGCATGATTAAAAATTTTAAGGAGGGATTTGGAGGAGACTATGGGGTGAAGATGACACCTAACCGCCTCCACATACTCTGTGAGATCGAATGGCCCTCTGTGGGAGTAGGATGGCCACCAGAGGGCACCATGGACTTAAAAAGAGTGGAAGCAGTCTATACAGTAGTCCCAGGAGAGCCAGGACACCTGGATTAATATCCAAATACTGATTCATGGCTATGGTTGGCTAAAGACCCTCCCACTTGGGCAAGGCTTTACATTCAGAAAGGGAAAGAGAAAATAATGGTACAAAAATTGACTGATAACAAGAAAAATTCTGCAGGATCTGGACAGGGATGATTTGCCCCTCCTCCCATACTGGATGATGAGCCTGCCATCTAATACTCCACCTGGACCAGAGGCCGCCTTGCCTGATCCAGGGCCTGCCGGGGCTCCTGCAGCTGCCCTCCCATCAGCTCCCCTGGAGAAGGCAGAGTTACCACCTTGGCAGGCTCTGATTACTGGGGGAAGGAGCCTCTAGTCAATGCCCACAGGATCCAGCCCCAGCAGAACCACCTAAACTATACCCACCTCTCCCAGTGAGTACTGATGGGAAGAGGGAAGGAGACACTGGAATTAAACAGAGGCTGCACTCCATCAGGGAGCCGGGGGGAAAGGGCTCCACTACAAATGCCCCTCAAAGAGCTTCAGCAGCCCCAAGTTCAGGGAACAGATGGACATTACCACCAACCTCCAGTAGCCTATTATTAAGAGCTGTTTTCCTCAATGGACATATTAAATTGGCAGAAACACACTCCATTGTACTCAGAGAAGCCACAAGGCATGATCAGGCTATTGGAAACTATTTTTAGAACCCACTGCCCTACATGGGATGACATAATCCAGCTACTAGTCTCCCTAAGACACAGGATCCTAACTGAGGCCAGAAAATGGCTAAGAGAAATGGCATCTGAGGGTGCCATAAACTGGCAGTGGTGGGCAGAACTAGCCACCCCTGATGAGAGGCCCAATTGGAACTATAACACAGAGGAAGGAAAGGGCCCAATATCGGCTGGCTATTTTACAAGGCCTCAAGAGGGGGGCCCGAAAGCCCATGAATATGGTGAAGCCCACTGAAATAATTAAAAAAGAAACTGAATCACCCTCTGGGTTCTAAGAAAGACTGTGTGAGGTTATTGGCTCTATACGCCAATAGACCTCAGATGATAAACACAGGCTTTGTGTCTCAAGCCTACCCTGATATCAGACTCAAGCTTCAAAAGGTAGATGGAGTATTGGCCATGACTAACTCACAATTGATTGAGATTACTGATAAGGTTTTCAGGAATAGAGACATGGAGGTTGTATGACCTTCCCTCCAGGAGCGAAGTCAGATGAATTAAATAATTGAGAAAGAGAGCTGATCCAACCATTGCCTGAGGTTTGGGTGGACGGTAACCCCACCCCCCACCCCCGCTCCGGCTTGCCAAATATCGAGCTCCGGTGGTAATAGAACTCAAACCTGGTGCCATAAGAGTCAGAAAACATCAGCACCCACTGCCGCTGAAGCGGGCTGGCATTTTGCCACATATAAATAGGCTACGACAGGCGGGCATCCTGATTGAATGCCAGTCAGCCTGGAACACACCAATCTTTCCTGTTAAGAAGGGAGACTGCAGGCCTGTGTGGGACCTTAGACTGGTCAACCAAGCCACTGTGACACTACATTGCACCGTTCCTAACTCCTATACTTGGCCGCCTCCCACCGAGTGCTAAGATCTATACTTGCTTAGATCTCAAGGATGCCTTCTTCTGTATATGAGACCTGGTGTCGCAGCCCATTTTTGCTTTTGAAAGGGAAGACCCAGCAGGGGGCACCAAACAACAGCTCACATCGACTGGCCTCCCACAAAGATTTAAAGAATTCCCCAACCATCTTTGGGGGAAGCCTTGGCTTCTGACCTGGACTCATTCTGGCCAGAGAGGTTCAGATGCAGATTGCTACAATGTGTGGATGACTTGCTTTTGATTGCCAAGAACAAAAAGGATTGCTGGGAAGGGATCAAGGCTTTACTGTAGCTGTTGATGGAGTCCGGCTACCGCGTCTTGAAAAAGAAGGCACAGATCTGCAAGGAGGAGATAAGATATTTGGAGTTTGTTGAGAGGAGGCACGAGGCTGTTAGACCAGTAGAGCAAAGATGTCATTTTGAGAATCCCACAACAAAAAAACAGATGATAGGTCCGAGAGTTCTTGGGAGCCACTGGGTTTTGTAGGATTTGGATTCCAGGTTATTCCCAGACGGCCCAGCCGTTATATGAACTCTTAACTGGACCAGGAGGAGATTCACTGAATTGGGCTGAGAGACAGCAGCAGGCCTTTGAGGAACTAAAACTGGCAATTACGTCAGCACCTGCCTTGGGCCTGCCAGACCTTATCAAACCGTTTACTCCTTACATAACTGAAAAAGTCAAGGTGGCTATGAGAGTGTTGACCCAGACTATGGGGACTTGGGACAGACCCATGGCCTATCTCTTGAAACGACTGGACAGTGTTGCCACCGGGTGGCCAGGATGCTTCCAGGGATTGCTGCATTTGCCTTACTAGTCCAGGAGGCAACCAAGCTGACTTTGCGCCAGGACTTAGCTGTAGAAGTCCCCCATGAGGTCAACACTCTCCTACAAGGTCAACATCTCCCACAGATGGCTGCAAACATCTTGGATTACTCAATACCAGGGACTTTTATGTGAGAACCCCCATGTCACTATTGAGCCTTGTCAGCCAGGAAGTGGGCCCTCACATGATTGCAAAGAAATCCTAGAGGAAGTTCATGCCAGCAGACCTGACCTGAGAGACCAGCCAATCCCAGACCCAGATTGGGTCCTGTACACTGATAGCACCAGCCTGTTGAAACAAGGACGACTGTGGGGATAGTAGTCATGGAGGAAATCATCATCGAGGCTGGCTCCCTGCCATCACACTGGTCTGCTCGATGGGCCAAACTTATGCTCTAATACAGGCCCTTCAGCTGTCAAAAGTTAAGAAGACAAACATTTACACTGACTCTAGGTATGCTTTTGCTAGTTTACATGTGAATGGGGCTTTATATAAGGAGAGAGGTCTTCTGACAGCAAACTGAAAGGACATTAAAAACAAGGAAGAAATCTTGACTCTATTAGATGCTGCATGGGAACTTGAAAAGGTAGTGGTGATGCATTGTCGGGGTCACCAAAAGGAAGACACCCCACAAGCACGGGGAAACTGACTAGCAGATAAAGCCACAAAACATGAGGCTGAGGAATTTGGGGCTGCTGGTCGCGGAATCTATCAGAGCCTTTGTTAACTTTGTCTCTCCACAGTATACCCCAGCCCAAGACCAGCTGGCCAAAGTAGAAAGGTTCACCAAAAATGAAAAGGTTGGTGGGAACCGCTGGATGCAGATTACTGGTACTTGAGGCATTAGCCCCCACACTGGTATCTCAGGTTCACCAGACAACTCACTTGGGACATGACAAAATAGAAGAATTAATTCGAAAATATTTCCTAATTCCACAACTTTCCTCCTTGTGTAGAATGGAATTTCAGAACTGTTCTGCTTGTTCAAAGGTCAATGCTGCCCTTGGACATAAACAAAAATCCCCAGGGATACAATTAAAACGCACTCTACCTTTTGAACATTTAGAAGTGAACTTTACTGAAATGAAACCCTGCAACACTGTCGCTATTTACTGGTCATGATATGTACCTTCTCAGGATGGATGGAGGCCTTCCCCACCCGAACTGAAAAGCAAAGGAAGTGGCTTGCTGTCTGCTTCGAGGATGATCCCCAGATTTGGTTTCCCAACCAGCATAGGATCAGACAATGGCTCTGCCTTTGTAGCCGACCTAATTCAACAGGTATGCAAAGCTCTAAGTGTCAAATGGAAATTGCATGCAGCATACAGGCCCCAGAGTTGCAGAATGATAGAAAGAACCAACTGAACTCTTAAACACCAAATGGAATATAAAGATTAACTACTCATGGATGGACTTGCTTCTGGTGGCCTTGCTCAAATTAAGGGTGACCCCGAGTTCCCACAGTTATTCTCCTTATGAAACTGGCTATGGGAGACCCCCTCCCATAGTGAGACAGGTGTCAGCAAACTTGCTACAGATAAAGGGGGATGGGATTTCACAGCAGATAGAACAATTGGGTAAGGTAATAAATCAAATAACTAAGTTTGTACAAGAAAGGGTGCCATTCCCTCTTGGAGAACAGATTCACGAATTTGCACCTGGCGATCAGGTGTGGGTCAAAGACTGGAAACGTGAGTCCTTGGCCCCACATTGGAAGGATCCATATACTGTTGTTCTAACCACCCCTATGGCAGTTAAAGTTGCAGCTGTCACTCTCTGGATTCACCACACGAGGGTGAAGAGAGCATACCACACAGACCCAGAGAACACTGAGTGGATTGCACAGAAGGACCCTGCTGATCTATGTGAAAACCAAGATCATCATGAGATAGAAGAAAAAGAGATGAAACTCTACAACCAACTCCTGCTACACGGACTTTCTGGTATCATCTTGAGACTAGACATAGTTTCTGCACAGGACAATATTTTCATTTTGTGGGCACCTTCCTATACTGACTTTCATAAAACAATCTAACTGCTGGGTGTGTGCAGCCATGCACATGAATGGACTCCTGTGGTGGGTATCACCTCTACGGAAGGGTGATATGCCTAGCTTATGTGACTTTTTGCACCAGACAAAACAACACAAATCGAGTATGGAAACTGTAATAATAGCAGCCACCACTCACTGGTTATGTGGGACTAACTTATGGCCTTAGCTGCCCCAGGATGGGTAGGGAGGTGTACTTTAGGTCTGGCCTTTACCCATGGAAACATTTGGTCAACAATACAAGAGCCTTTAAATTTACCCTCCCTACGGGCCAGATGGTCACGATCAGTTTTCCATTGGTATGATTATTTGTCTGCTATATTTGTTCCCTCACTGGGCACTATGGACTTAATGATCAGAATTGAAGTTCTAACTAATTTCACCCAAAGAGCCCTAAATGACAGCCTGAGAGTGATTCAAGCACTCAATACTGAAAAAATACAAATGAGGAAAGCAGTAATTCAAAATAGAATGGCTTTAGACATACTTACAACTGCTCAAGGAGGGACCTGTGCTATAATCAAAGCTGAATGTTGTGTATATATTCCTGATTTATCTGGCAATATATCAGCCACTCTAGATGACATGAAAGGTCAAGTAGAAGCTGTGTCTGATGATAATCTTCCTTTTTGGACTTCTGTTCTCTCACAGGTGAAGCGTGATTGGTGGAAAACTAGGTTAACCATTGTTATAGTTGCTCTGTTGATTTTGTTATGTGGACCTTATATTTTCCAATGTGTTGTTAACTTTGTTTCACAGAGGCTGACTTCATTTACCCAAATATATACCAGGAAACCTAAAATACAGTATATCCCGGTGAGTGCCACTCACACTGGAAGTTGAGAGCATTAAGAGGAGGGAATGAAGGAGGAAAGGAACAGGCTGAGCTGACTCCATCTTGGAAAAGAAGGAAACCTCATCTTACATTCTCAGTGAAACTTTGGACTATGTCATAGCCATGGAGATAGCATACCTACGGTCTAACAGACCTCCTGGACTGATAAACACAAGATCTCATACCAAGATTTCCCATTGCCAGAAAGAATGTAATAATCCCCTATGTAGTCAGTCACCTTTGTAATCTTTATGCGACCCATTGGTGTAGGCAACAATGTATAACCAGCTGACTCTTTTGATTATGAATCATGGCTGTAACCTGATTGTATCTCCCTTTGACATTTTCCAGAGTAGGATTGAGGAATTTTGTGATGTGGGCTTATTCCCATACACTTAGGATATACAAGGTTTTCACAGAAATTGGTCGGGGTCCCTGATTGAAGAGGAAACTCTGCCTTGGACCCACCAGTGTAATAAAGTGCACTCCATTATCCACATTGTCCTTCTGAGTGAGTTTGCATCCTGGAGCATCTGGCTGCAACATAGAGAGTTAGAATGGACATGTACACATGGCTATGTTTAAAATAAATAGCCAACAAAGACGTTTATACAACACAGGGAACTCTGTTCTATGTTACATGGCAGCCNGGACTGTAGCTGACAGAGCTCCTCTGCCCATGGGATTTCCAGGCAAGAATACTGGAGTGGGTCGCCATTTGCTTCTCCAGGGGATCTTCCCAGTTCAAGAATTGAACCCATGTCTCCTGCATTGCCGGCAGATTCTTTACCAACTGAGGCTTTCCTGGTGCTCAGATCGTATAGAATCCGCCTGCAATATGGGAGACCTGGGTTGGGAAGTTACCCTGAAGAAGGGTACCAACTCCAGTTTTTGGCCTGTAGAATTCCATGGACAGAGGAGCCTGGCAGGCTACAATCCATAGGGTTGCAAAGAGTTAGACACAACTGAGCGACTTTCACTTCACTTCACTTCACATAGGGTTTCATAAGAAAGTAAACAGCACGACAAAGTTTAGGAATTACAAAATTCACATAGTTTAAAAAAGAGATTTTTTGTGTTAAAGAGAGTTATTTTCTCATACTTCCTCTTTCATCATTTGTGCTCAAAAGTGAAAGTGTTAGTCACTCAGTCATGTCCAGCTCTTTGTGACCCCATGGACTGCAGCCCGCCAGGCTCCTCCGTCCCTGGAGTTCTCCAGGCAAGAATACTGAAGTGGGTAGCCATTGCCTTCTCCAGGGGATCTTCCCGGCTCAGAGATTGAACCTAGGTTTCCTGCACTGCAGGTAGATTCTTTACCCTCTGAACCACCAGGAAGGCAATTTTTGCTTGAGCCATCTTAAATTTCAAAGCGTTACCCAACTGCTATACACGTTCTCTTCTCTTTTGCAGTTCCCTTCAACTGAAACATTTCTCCCTTCAAACTCAATGTCTTACTTTTTCGTTTAGCCAATGTATACTCAAGTCTTCAGTCTGCAAATTTATTTGACATTTCCTTGGGAAGATTCCCCTGAGTTAGATATCGCATTAAGTGCTCTCATAATAACTTACTCCACTGCCTTTTGTAATTTGTCACAATGAATCACATATACCCAGTGAACGTTTCAGTTTTCTATTAAGTTGCTCAAATGAAGGAATCACATGTCTTCGTTATTATACACTCAGAATACACCATGAAGCCCAGTAACACAAAGATATTAAACTTCAAAAATATGTTCTAATTGGCAAATGAATAACCATATCAATGATATGGATTATTACTTTTTAATGCCTTTCCTAAGAACTGGGAGTGGTTACAGCAATGTTAAATTGAGGGACTTTACATTCATAGACTCTGTGACTAACCCAGAAATGCCATGAGTCACCACTAACATTTATTTACTGACTTAATTTCAAACTAACTTTCAAATGAGGTCATTTAATCATGGATTCTGTCACCAATTTGAGGACAAATTTACTTGGTCTCTCAATCAAAAAGCTCATCTTAAAAGTAATAATAACAGCTTCATTATGTAGTTGGACCAATTACTTGAGACACATTTAAATCTTTTATCAATGTTTCTGGATCATGACAAGTGATAATAAACTGTAGTTTTTGTTATCACACCATGATAATAATGGTAATTATAAGCTCTGTCAACTGTTTGGGAATTCCAATAAAAGTAAATTTATTAAGGTTTACTTCCTTTTCTCTTTGACAACAAAATCTTGAAATGATGTAAAAAGGATAAACTTGAAAGTTCTTATATACTTCTGTCTGTAATAATGCAGGTTGTCAGAGACCAGCTGATGCTGAGAAAAATTAGAAGAGCAGGATCCAAACAAACAAACAATTTTTTTTTAAGCATTGGAAAGTTCTCAAGGTAAATGAAGAAACAGGAAATATTCAAAGACGTAAAAAAAACAATTTGGGAGTTATTCCTCTCCTAGCAGTATCTTGGTGAAGAGTCACCTGCTCAGAATCTGGGCAGAAGGCCATGGCCAGCAGACACTGTCCTAGTTGAGATAAAAATTGCTGTCAGTCCACTTGAAAAAATCCTGAAGACAAAAAAGAGCCAAAGATATTTAGCTTAATATTTTTTCTTCAAGCTACTTGCCAAAGTACTAAACTTCACAGGGAAAGAGGCTAACAAGGAAAATGTGAAAAGCAGAGTAGCGTTTTGAGAGTCATGTAGCATTGAGGAGAAAAAATTCAATCTCCAACAAGGAAAGGAGCTTTAGTAATAATCCAGGCTCTCAGAATTTCTAGAAGTCTGGCCATGGGTGCTAGGATAAATAAAAATAAATGGAAAAAAATAATAAATCATATCTTGCATTTTCTAAAAAAAAAAAAAGAATCTATACTCCTTTTATCACATGTTCTCATACACAAAACCCATCAAAGCCAGTCTTATTAAAAAAAAAAAAAAGAAGTGGTGGAATGGTAGAAAACAACAAAATATTAATTGATTACAAAGATAAAAGAGAAACTTTACAGTGAAGTCTGATAAAATGAAGGTGAAAGTCGCTCAGTCATATCTGGCTTTGGTGATCCCATGGACGGTAGCCTGCCAGGCTCCTCTGTCCATGGAATTCTCCAGGCAAGAGTACCTGAGTGGGTTGCCATTAACAGGTGCCACTTTAACCATGTGAACAAAGTAAGCATCATAACAATGGAACAAAAAACTGCATCTTCTGAAAGAATGAACAAAGTTTCACTACATTATTGCTCTGCTATTCCTGCCAGGGAGACATAACTTGAATACAACTATGAGAAATAATCAAACAAATTTAAATTGAAGAACATTTTACAGAATAGCCAGCTTGTAATATTTAAAAGCATCAGCTTATGAATGTCAAAGGTTAAGGAAGTCTTCTAGATGTTAGGAGATTAGACAAAGTAACTAAATGCAGAAAATATTTCTGATCTGGATATTTAATTCAAAAGAACATTATTTGATAATTGGCAAATGTTACAGAGACTTAGAGATGGTAGTACTGTGTTAGTATTAATTTGTTGATTGATAATTGTATTTTAATTAAGTAGATTTTTTGTAGGAAATACATATAAAAATATCCAATGATACTTGAAATTTTATAATGAAATTCATCAAATTGGCAACTAATTCTCGACAGGTTTGGGGAAAAGTTAGGTTTTTTTCTCCTGTACATATAGTCTTCTTATAAGTTTGTGATAGCTTCTAAATTTAGATAAAACTTGCATAAACTAAGCAGCAAACTAAAAACATTAACACTTTTTTACTCAGAATATCCAGTTTTAAAGTTTACATCATAGAGATAAAAGTACTACCATTTAAAAAGATATTCAGAATACTGCAGCATAGTTTATAGTAGCAAAAATCTGGGAAAAAAGTTAAAGTTAATGTTTATCAATAAAGGAGTGTAAAATATAAAGCCATGTGTGTGCATGCTAAGTTGCTTCAGTTGTATCTGACTCTGTGCGACCCTGTGAACCACAGCCTGCCAGGCTCCTCTGTCCGTGGGATTCTCCAGACAAGAACACTGAAGTGGGTTGCCATGCCCTCCTTTAGGGGATCATCCAGACCCAGAGATTGAACCTGTGTCTCTTACATCTTCTTTTACATTGGCACACAGCTTCTTTACCACTAGTGCCTCCTTGGAAGCCCCACAGGAAGTCACACTATGATATAACTCAGAACTACATGAAATTTGCATAGGATATTGTTAACAATAAAAAAAAGCAAAACAACAGAAAAGCAGACATAATTTGTTCACATTTGTTGTAAAAGAAAAGGTGAACTACATCATGAATATAAATGTATGGGTTCATTTTGGATTATATTATCACACAAAGAATCAGAGGGTATATTTTAGATTGTTAACATGAGTTACTCTGTGACTAGGACAGATGAACATGACTGAGGGAAATAGAGAAGCCAGGCTGGTGTTTAATTGCAATTTTAAATTCTTATTCCTGAAGATTCATGTTAGATCAAAACTTTGATCCTTGATAATTCACTGTCACTTTAAAAATTTTAATATTGGCAAATCCATTTGAAAACACTGTTGCAAGTTTCAGAGTAAATTCCGTTTTCCTTAATGGCAGCACAGCTATTTTCTTGAGCTGGTCCTTTTATGAAAAATCTGAAAAGGAGAAGATAAAGATATTATTCATCATCATTGCCAAAGACATCCATTCTGTTCTCAGTTAAAAACCTCCCTCAGTTAAAAGATAACTCAAATATTTAAGGCATTTTCAAATACTTAGAGTCATGAAACTTATCAATGCCTCTGTAATTTAGTATTACTGTCTGTGATAAAGAATTCCAAAATCTGTTTGTAAATGACAGAGCTAAGAAGAAATCTGTGCTCACATTTCTATCCTAGTATTCTTTCCATTGTTCAATGTCATCCATTTAGATTAAAAACTGGGAGTAAGTCACATGGGTAGCTCAATAAATCTTTCTTGGTTTTTCATATCCGTTTGTACAATAGTGATACAAATATTTACCTCATTATGTTGTTACAGAGGTTAAATGACTAGATGTTTGTAAAGAACTTAGTACCCAAACTGACCTGCTTGCACTGGTGGTTCAGTGGTAGAACTCTCACCTGCCACAAACTGATCCTAAATAATTTATGTATGTATAAATAAGGCCTAAATAAATTATACATGTATCATAATACTTATCCACAAAGCGATGTGATGAATACAATAATGAAGTTATATATAAAATATTGTACTTAGTGATTTATTCTGTTAAGAATTTATTTAAACTTAGAAAAAAAAGGTTTAAGAAGGGGTCACAGTAAAGATGTACATGATTTTCAAAGCTTCCAGAATAATAGCAGAAAAGTAAGTATTGGATTTTCATATTGGAAAATACACCTACATTTCAATTTATATATGTTTACGCTTGAATTTTGTATTGAATGTTTTTGAACAAAAATCCCTAGGCATAGTCCAGAGTTAAAACTCAATCCTAAAGGTAGTGTTTAGTGGATTTGGCGTGAGGAAGAAACCTAAGTTAGCATCTTCGTAAGTAGCCAATCAGGTCATGTCCAGTGATACAACTTAGATCTCACCCATAATTTTATTCTCCATTCCAAATAATGTCTTCAGTTGACTTCCTTAAATTTATTAATTTAGTGCAGTGAGATAGAAAATGTGTGTGTTTGTCGTTCAGTCGTGTTCGACTCTTCACAACCACATGGACTGTAGCTCTCCAGGCTCCTCTGTCCATGGAACTCTCCAGGCAAGAATACTGGAGTAGGTTGTTATTCCCTTCTCCAGAGATAGAAGATAAGTAATATCTAATAATTAAACAGGAGTGAAGGGACAATAACACAATAGTATTTATTAACCAACAGTATTGGTTCCATAGTGAATGTTTCTTATCACTGCTGTAATCAGCTGTCAAAAATTTAGTGGCTTAAAGCGGCACAAATTTTTTTTATCTTGCAGTTCTAGATATCAGAAGCTCAAAGCTCATCTTAAAAAACTAGAATCAAGTGTCTTTGAAGCTATCTGCTGCAGGCACTGGGGAAAAACTTGTTCATTGCCTTTTGCAGGTATTAGAGGTTGCCTGCACTCCTTGGCTATCAGACAACTTGGACTTCTGCATTTATCTTCAAATCTCCTCCAAGTCTGCCCCTACTCTACCCCTCTCATAAGGACTTGTGATTACATTGGGCCCACCTGAATAATCCAGCATAACACTTCTATCTCAAGATTATTAATTTAATCACACTCATGAACTCTCTTTTAGACTTAAGGTAACATTCACAGAATTTGGGGATTAGAACATTTAGGGGGACCATTACTTTGCCTACCAACATAGGGATAATATTTGAGTTTACTGTTCCTACTATAGTATAATATAATTTTATAAATTAATACAAGTGCAGAAAAGGATTCATAAAATTTTCAAAATTGCAATAATCTCCTGCAGCTGCTGAGAGCATTTAGGATTATTTTGTTCTGTCTTGTAGTTCTTATTCATTTTTTTAGCATTGTGATGATCTTACAGTACAAAAAAATCATGTAGAGTTTTTTTTTTTAATTACTAAAAATGACTAAAAGATGCATTGATACCAGGGAAGGCACCAAGGGGGAAAAAGGAGAGGATGAGATTGGGAGATTGGGACTGATATACGTATACTATTGATGCTATGTATAAAATGTACAAAATAGGTAACTAATGAGAACCTACTGTATAGCTCCAGGAACTCTACTCAGGGTTCTGACGTGACTTAAATGGGAAGGTGCCAGGAGCCATTATGGGAGGTCCCGCCCGTGACGAGGTCATGAAGAAAATACTGGACAGGCAAGGCCGTCCGGGATCCCATCCATGATGAGGTCATGAGGAAAAAACCTGACAGGCAAGGCCGTTCAGGATACAAGGGGCCCTCCAGGTTGGCCTCGGCCTCTACCCCACCCTGTATCCTCCCCTCTTTTCTGCTGTTGTTCTTGTTTGCCCTGCTGCGGATTCTTGTGTCGCCTGCCGAGAGTTCTCCTGCTCCTCTTTCACTGAATAAAGACCAACTTAAAACCCTAACTAATAAATGTCCTGAATGCTGGTACCCTATGAAGGGGCCCGGGATGAAGGAAATGCTTCAATTCAAACCCTTTTGCTGGCATTCTGGCTTGTTTGATATATGTGTGCTCTCATTACAAAAAAAATGCTCATGATTGTTCTAAACATCCAAAGCACAGTACGCTAACAAAAGAAACCATTAAGCATAGGCCCCTCCGTGGGGTGAGAAAAGCTCCACAAATATAATGGCCACAAATGTGCCTAATAGAAAATACTTTAGATAGAGATTAGCTGGTGACTTCTTGCAGGTAGTTAACTTTTAGACTAAGGGCCTGTTTTGTGCTATATCTGCTGTTTTTGCAGTCCTTCGCATTTCTGTTCTGTAAAAATGCAATCCTATCCAGTTCCCATAGAGATGACGCCTATTAGAAAGAAAATAGATTAATCACAAGAAAAATAGGGTCGGCTACTGAAGTTGCTTGAGTCAAACCAGGTGCAAGCCATGAAATGTTAGCAGGCGTGAAGGCCAAATGATAAGACTCTTGTGAATGAAAAGTATGTGGGTGACATCCAGTTTCTGTTGAAGGTCAAGTTGCTGTAATGTTTTGAGATGACCTGTGTGTAAGCAATATGCACTTTCCCCAAAGATGTTGTTAAGGGTATAAAGGAGCCATGCAAAAATAAACTCCAGACTCAGTCCCCAAGCTTTGTCTGTCTCTCTCTCATTCACTGGAGCCGTTCATGCTGAGGGTTCCCCTGGATCCTGCTGGGGCTGGACCCCGGCAGGAAGGAACTCCAAAAACAAGGATGTATACCTGATTCACTCAGGTGTATAATAGACACTAACACACTATTGTCAAGTAACTATAGTCCAATAAAATTAATTTTAAAAATAAAAATTAAAAAAGTATTGAGAACTTTGAAAGCAGAAGACTACATTGTTTCCAGTGTACCTTTCCATATAAAGTGTGACTAGTTTTTAAAATCAGTAAGTGAACAATCACTATTGTTTTCAAGTCCTTTTGCTTTAAAAACCAAGCCAAAATTTGTCATTACTCCAACCAACATTAATTTTCATCCTTTCAGATTCTTTAGTACCAAAAATTTTTGAGTTCATTTTGATATGTTTATAGATGTTTTAAAGAGGTAAATTCTCTGATAGAGAATAGATTATATTGTCTTTTGGGAAAGACTCACATCTTTGAATCCAAAGGAGAATCATCCACCCAGGTCCATGTTCTTTTCAGGGAAGTAAAGTTAAGCCCAATCCACACGTAGTTTGATTGTTTTAGAGTTTTCTGTATAAAAGCCTAAAAAGTGGGTGATGAGTAATTAAATGAATAGGATAACAATGATTTAGACATACTAAGAAAGATTTTGGAATTCTACTGGACAACTCACACTTTAGATGAGGACTCTTATCCTAGTCAATCATCTTATTTATACATACATTATACATCATATGGACTTCCCTGGTGGCTCAGCTGGTAAAGAATCCTCCTGCAATGTAGGAGACCTGGGTTCGATCCCTAGGTTGGGAAGATCCCCTGGAGAAGGGAACCGGCTACCCACTCCAGTATTTTGGCCTAGAAAATTTCATGGACTGTACAGTCCATGGAGTTGCAAAGAGTCAGACACGACTGAGCAGCTTTCACTATATATCATGTACCAGGACATACACTGTGAAGTGAAAGTGAAAGTTAAAGTGGCTCAGTCGTGTTTGACTCTTTGTGATCCCACGTAGCCCACCAGGTTCCTCTGCCCATGGAATTTTCCAGGCAAGGATACTGGAGTGGGTACCTGTCCCTTCTCCAGGGAATCTTCCCAACCCAGTAATCAAACCAAGGTTTCCTGCATTGCAGGCAGATTCTTTATCAGCTGAACTACCACTACTTGTAAATTAAACATCAATATTCAGACCATAATTACCCCAAGTCAAGTGAAGCACTGAATTCCAGCTCAGAATTTAAAAGGGCACCAAAAGTTCAGTAGCCAAGATAAAAGATAATTTAATGAAAAGGTGGGAAGAAATTTGAGATAAGCCTTTTAAACTGCAAAGCAGCAAGTATCATAAGCCTGATACTAAACCACTTACCAGTTCAAGTTGGTTCTGAATAATTAGTAGGTGAGATTTTTTCCCCAAACAATATCTATAACTGTCATTCCAACTTTTCATCTCATTAGAGAACCAATAGCACTTTTCTTGATACTTCAGCCATTCTGATGAGCACATTCCTACAAATTGACAGTGAAAATATTTGCATATTGTATGAAAAAGAGTAGAGCTATGATAAAATCCTAACAAAGTATTCAGACTCAGACAAGTTATCCCAAATACAAATGAGAGTCCATGAAAATTAAGAAAACTATTTAAAAATATTTCTTTTATATTTTTGTCTGTGTGAGCTCTTCATTGCAATATGCAAGATTTTCTTTAGTTGTAGCGTGCAAGCTCAGTAGTTACAGCATGCTGGGCTAGTTGCCCTGGGGCATCAGGAATCCTAGTTCCTGGACAAAGAATCTAAACCAGGTCACCTGCATTGGAACTTAGATTCCTAACCACTGAACCATCAGGGGACGTCCCAAGAAAATTAGTAAGATGAAGCAAAACCCGTGTGTGTGTGTGTGCTAAGTCACTTCAGTTGTGTCTGACTCTTTGCCATCCTATGGACTGTAACCCACCAGGTTCCTCTGTCCATGGGATTCTCCAGGCAAGAATACTGGAGTGGTTGGTCATGCCCTCCTCCAGGCGATCTTCCCCACCCAGGGACAGAACCTGCATCTCTTATGTCTCCTGCATTGTCGGTAGATTTTTACCACTATTGCCACGTGGGAAGTCTGAAGCAAAACCTAGACAGATATAAAGGGATTTTTTTTTCATGTCATAATCTAATATGATTACTAAAGTAGCATGTACCAGTCAAGATATATATAGCATTAATGCTATGAGAGATTAACTATTATCTATACCATTTGCTTAGCATTTACCCTGGTAAAGTTTTAGAAATCTTTCTCATTGTTTTATGTGTGTAAATTGTTCTTTAATATCTCCTTTTTGATATTAAGTAATACTGAGATGAATAACAATTCTTTATCCTCTTTATAATTGCAGGTCCTTTGAGTTTCTTAAATTTAAATTAACGTATTCTCAAATTGAAACTGAGACTTTCAGAATAACAATGAAGGAAAATGTAGTATAATAAAAAAAAATATAAGCACAGATCAATGTAACTATTCAAACTTGGGGCCTTTATAATCTCTGTATTTTCTGAGACAAAATTTATGTAACATAAAATTCACCATGCTAGCCATTTTAAAGTACAAAAGCCATGGGTTTTAGAACATCCAAAGGGTGTGCAAACATTATGCACATCTATCTAACTCCAAAATAACTTTTCTCACCCCAAAATGAAAAGAGGAGCGTAGGATTTCTCTTTTGGGTGATGAAAATGTTTTGGAAGTAGACAGATAATGGTAGTTGCACATTTGAATGTCATAACACCATTGATGTTTAATTTTAAATAATTGTTAACATTACCTCAGTAAGAAAATTTACAGAAAATTAATTTCTTATAGTTCAGTTATACAGGATTTAGACTGACTTTAATGAATGCTTAATGGTGTCTATTTGATCTTCTGTTTACCCATAAAAGCTTTCTTACTTTTGAAAAAGTTTCATTACTTAATGAGAAATTAGATAGCCAGAGTATAAAAAAGTGGTAAAATTATAATATTTCAATTGGATGAGGACTTGTACATGTAAACGGACAGGTAATCTGAAAGAAAAGAGTGTTAATAAGTAAATATAATACATATGACATTTTTACATGGGATAAGGAAACTGTAAACTAGTGGATTTCAGAAAAATTTTTTGAAAAGTAATTATAAAATAAATCAACAGTAACTTTTNGCAGGTTTTGTGTGTTTTTCCAACTCCTTTAAGGAAACACAAAGGAGCGCAATTGCTAGAGCGTATGGTAAAAGTATATGTAGTTTTGGAAGAAATAGCCAAAGGGGCTGCACCGTTCTGCATTCCTACCAGCTGTGATGAGAGTTCCTATTGCTTGACATCATTACCAGCATTTGGTATTGCCAGTGTGGATTTTCACCATTCTCATATGCATGTATGCATACATATGTGTTCACTTATCTAACTCTGTGACTATGCAGGGCTCCTCTGATCTGCCAGGCTCCTCTGTCCATGGGATTCTCCAGGCAAGAATACTGGAGTGGGTTGCCATGCCCTCCTCCAAGGGATCTTTCCGATCCAGGGATCAAACCCCCATCTCTTAAGTCTCCTGCATTGGCAGGCAGGTTCTTTACCACTGGTGCCACCTGGGAAGTCCCATATGCATGTATAATCTGTATTTATAACAATCTCCCCTGGGTAAGTCTCAATTTTGCTGAGACTGAGACCACGCTCTGGATCTGCGTCCTGTCTGAGAAATTGGGAGCCGCTGTGTTGCAGGAGCAGGTGGAGTTTCAGAAAAGCAGACCCAGGGTCCCGGAACAGCAGCTGCCCAAAGGACTCCAGGTCTGCGTTTAGTGCCCTGCGGGGGTTAACCATCATTGAATAATCTCAGCCTGGGATTTTAGGAGATCCCTTCTTAGAACCTGGGAGAAGTTTTGTGAAGAATCCTCAGATGATGATGGGGGGTGTTACTTTATTTGTTTGGGTTTTTTTTTTTTTTTTTTTTTTTGAAGGATTTGTAGCAATGTTTGGAGTCTAAAGACTGCTCAGCAAATATTTGGACAAAATCAATAGTAAACTGAATTCAATCTTAAATAATAATGAATAATTTTTGAAGAAAAATAATGTAATTCAATCTATTCACAAATATCTAAGAAATCCTGAAGTATGATTTCAAATACATTACATATACACACACACTTACATACACTTTTCTCCTAGTAAACTGTATGCCACTTGAAGACCAGATATGTACCTGATTCGAATACTTAATCAATATGTTACTATGGGGTATAATCTATTGCCTTATACATAGCAAAATCATTAAATCTTTAAATTTAATCTCATTAAATCTTTGTTAGCGTAAAGAAGAATGAATGAATATGAAAAGAGTAATAAGAAACAAGTAAACATTTTTCATATTTTTATTTAATTAAGATCTTTTAACTTACCTAACAGACTCAAGGTGATCAAAGTCAAAACCAGAATACCATTTAGTCCTCCAGATATCCCCAACAAGGTTTTATATCGGTGTGACATCACAGAACAGTCTGACAAATTAATCACACAAATTAGCTTAGAAAGTACATTCCTGTGAAGTGATGGCAATTGTAATAACAGGATTGTACACAATATGGATTTTGAATATCATAGAATATTAGGCACTAGAAACATAAAACCTAAGGAAACAGAAAAATACATATTTATCTTATTCAGCAATGATACCACTCTGGATGATCAGAACAGTGAGAAGAGAAAAGCTACCTTTGAAGTTGCCAATCCTGGTCAAGAAAGAGTGTAATAAACCACACAGAACCATATTTCAGGGAACTGGTGCACACCTTTTCTCTTATAGTAATATTAACAAAGATAGTAAAATAAGTTTTATCAGAGTTCAATTAAGGAATATTTTACATTTCACAGATTGCTTTTGGATATTTTTATATAGTACTAATGATAGTCAATACATTTCAACACATGTAATAAAATGCCATTATATTAAAAATCAAACAAATGATTATCAGAAAATGTTAGGATAAAGAGTGTGGAAGCCTATTCAAATTCAACTCAGACTTAATTATTTCTCATAAGTATCGTGGGATAACTTTCAAAATATGAATTTGAGGCATGTTAAATTCAGCATTATGAAGAAAACCACATTTTCATTACCCTGAGAAGTGGTATAATTTAACTTAGAAGGTTAGAACACAAGCACTTTACCATCAAAAGTAAACGTATTTTAAACAAGAAAAAACAATGACCTTTAAGAGTGTTCACACAAAAATCTTAAACATATTAGTAGTAGCCAAACATACCATGATCATGTTGAATTTATTCTAGGAATACAAGAGCTGTTTATTAGTAAGAAATCCATTCATCTCACATTCATAGAGCTTGGGGAAAATATATCATCATCTCACAGAAGTAAAAAAAACACAAGTGATAATATTCACCACTTTATGCTAAAAATTAAAGCTGAAATTGATGGGCACTTTTTCAAGAGAACAGTTTTTTGCCTAATGAAGCTAATATCATACTTAACAGAGACACATCACCAAAATAAAAAGCAAACAAAAAAAAAAATCAGTATATCATGAATACAGACTTGAACAGGTGGAAATTCAGCCATGAGTGCTTTGAAGGCTAAATGTCAGAGATAAATGTTCCTTAAGTAGATTGATAAATTAGGAAGCATTTAATATACCATAAAACTACATCTGTTTGTTTTTTATTTTGTTGTTTATAATAAAAGTGTCTGCAAAATGTATTATAAAATTATTTGGAAGAACAAACAAGTGAGAATAGTTAAGTAAACACTGAAAAAGATAGAAATATAAAATTGTTGATTAGATTGAAATGTCATATGTCTAATTCCCAACTTTACAAAATGTTAGCAAGGTTTACTAAGTACCAGCAAAACATATTATAAATAATGGTTATTAGCATGTGCCACTTAAATTAACTAGGAGTTGCAAATTTATTATTTTACACTTTCCTGACCTCATTTTCTGTGCAAAGACACATTTTGGTTTACAGATGCCATCTCCAAACTGAATGTGAGAAAAGTTTTCACGGAAGAGCCCCTACATTTTGTGGTCTTTCATGTTAATATCTCTATTGTTCAAACAAGTTTTTTTTCACCTGATTAAAAACATATTTTAAAATTTTTGACAAGTTGAATAAAAAGGTGATAATTTAAAATGCCATTATTTTATAAATGGTAAGAAGGTGAATGACCGGCACCAAAGATTCACTTTTTAATTATTGATTTTAACTAGATGTGTATATTTCCTAGATATATCCTTAATAATATGAAGCAAAATATTACTTCAAAACAAGCAGCTGTTAGTCCCATATTGATAAAGAGAAAGAGAGAAAAGATATATGCAAAGACAGAGAATGGGAAATACCACAAAAATGAAACAGTCCAAGAACCGAAAAAAAAAAAAAACCAGAATAATGGAAACTACTATCCACATTAATATTAATATGAATATTATTGTTCAGTCTCCAAGGCATGTCCAACTCATCTCAACCCCATGGAATGCAGCTTGCCAGGCTTGCCTGTCTCACACCATCTCCCAGAATTTGCTCAAGTTCATGTCTATGGCATGGCTCATAGATTTACGAAGTTTCTCAAACCCCTTCACCATAACAAGACAGTGATCCAAGAAGGGGCATATGAATATTAACTCATAGTAAATCCTCACCCATATTAATCCACAACAATTAAAAAAAAAACCTGAATTCCATACCTTGACATTTAAATTGAAATGTTTGGATAGAACTCCTTTTCTTCAACTGTATATTCAAAGTCATGTATGTTTCTTCATCTTGCATCTTCAAATGTGAGTGAATGCCTATGTAAAAGTGTATGTTTTTTTTTTAATATGCAATAAGAGAAGAATAATAAACCCACTGCTAATCAGAGATTGTCCTGAAATGGTCCACTCAAGGTGCATTACAATGGGTTCACAGTTTCATCTACTGGTGAAAACCTCAAAGGAAATGTTATTTTTAATTTCCGAGCAAAGATAACACATAATTTCTCAACTGTCCACCACAAATTGAACTTAATGTTTGCTTGTTTTTTTTCTTTTAAAACGTCCTCCCGTTAAATTTGTAAGGTCAGGGAAATGAAAATTGTACACTTCTTAGGGCTGAGTTAATAATAGCTAGTTGGTCTTTTGCATTAGCTTAAGTAGGTGAATTTTCAATTATATTCCCCAATAGATGGATGTTTGATTTATTATAATAGCTTGCAATTACTCAACAGTTAAATTCTTTCCTGATTCTAAAACAACACTGATTATAAATTATACCAATAATTTAGTAGTATAATTTAAAGAAAAAATCACTGACAATATTTTTTGGCATTCTAAAGACTAGTCTTATGTAGAAACAATTTTCAAGAAGAATTTAGGAAACAAATCATAATGTCCAGTGACCTTTTCTGGTATTCAAAGAGGTTACCCAATATTCATGAGATAATACAGATATTTGAGATTTATTTTTCCTCTTAGCTTTAGCGAGGTCTAAGTTACATACAATGAAATCCATCCATTGTTGGTACATGACTGGATGATTTCAAACAAATATATAGATGTGTGTGGAGAAGGCAATGGCACCCTACTCCAGTCCTCTTGCCTGGAAAATCATATGGACGGACGAGCCTGGTGGGCTGCAGTCCATGGGGTCGCTAAGAGTCGGACACAACTGAGCGACTTCACTTTCACTTTTCACTTTCTTGCATTGGAGGAGGAAATGGTAACCCACTCCAGTGTTCTTGCCTGGAGAATCCCAGGGACAGCGGAGCCTGGTGGGCTGCCGTCTATGGGGTCGCACAGAGTCGGAATGAAGTTCCAGAAACACTAATTTAATAAGTTGAGATAGAGGAGTTTAAAATGTGGGCAACTAAATTCTAAATCTCTGACAATCACAGCAAATCTAGAGTGGAAACCCAAAGGTTTTAGCCAAGAGATTCACTGGTGAGACCAAAAACTGTGGAGAGAGAGAGCTGACTACCCCAGACATCCTGAAAGGAGCACAGCCAGTCCTGGCCTCACAGAAAGACCCAGGGTCCATTAGCCATGACTCTTAGCACATTTCTCTATTTTTCTGCTGGGCACCAGTTTCGCAAAGGCAAGTAGAAGGCACAGGACACCGTTCCTAAGATGAGTCTCTTCAGATGAAGATTAAGATACAGAAGGTTGAGAAGAGAGCTGGAGAGGGAACCAGCGGTATAACATTTGCTATGATCATCCTTTTCAAGTCTGTATGCTTAGTCGCTCAGTCAGCTCTGCCTCTTTGCGACCCCATGGGCTGTAGCCTGCCAGGCTCCTCAGTCCATGGGGATTCTCCAGGCGAGAATCCTGGAGTGGCTTACTATTTAATATTTCCTCCTCCAGGGGCTCTTCCCAACCCCGGGATTGAACCCAGGTCTCCTGCATTGCAGGCAGATTCTTTACCATCTGAGCCACTAGGGAAGCACCCTTCTCAATTTTGTAGTAGCTTAATAGTTATTGCATTTAATATTTTCACAGTTACTGCAGTGATATTTTTGATACTGCTTCTCTATTATACATTTTTTCCACCATGAGTCTTCAGTTTTGTGGTATGTTTATCAGTAATTAGGCTGACAAAGTGATCTACCCTTTGGATGCCAGTCAACTTCTTTCTTCAGCCATTCTTTCTTCAGCCATCCTGAAACCTATAAAACGGACACCTAAAAAACTATCTAAAACAGTTTTGTTTTGTCCAAAACATCAAGGATGGGGACTTCCCTGGTGATCGACTGGTTAAGAATCCACCTTGCAATGCAAGGAACATGGGTTGATTCCCAGTTGGAGAACTAAGATCCCAAGTGCTGTGGAGCAACTAAGCTCCCACAACACAACTAGAGAGTTTGGTCCACAACAAAATATCCTGCATGACACAATGAAGATACTGCATGCAACAACTAAGACATGACAGAGCCAAAAAAAAAAAAGAATCCAAAAAACCAAAATAAAAAATACCAACAAGGTTAGAAGCTATCTAAATACTCAATAATATTGCTGTTCAGTCACTAAGTCATGTCTGACTTTTTGTGGTCCCGTGGACTGCAGCATGCCAGGCCTCCCTGTCCTTCACTATCTCCTGGAGCTTGCTCAAACTCAAGTCCATCAAGTCAGTGATGCCACCCAACTATTTCATCCTCTGTCATCCCCTTCTCCTCCTGTCCTCAGTCTTTCCCAACATTACAGTCTTTTCCAATGAGTCAGTTCTTCACATCAGGTGGACAAAGTATTGGAGTTTCAGCTTCAGCATCAATCCTTCCAATGAATATTCAGGACTGATTTCCTTTATGATTGACTGATTTGATATCCTTCTGTCCAAGAGACTCTCAAGAGTCTTCTCCAGCATCACAGTTTGAAAGCATCAATTCTTTGGCACTTAGCCTTCTTCATGGCCCAACTCTCACATCCATATATGACTACTGGAAAAACCATAGCTTTGACTAGACAGACATTTGTCAGCAAAGTTATGTCTCTGATTTTTAATATGCTGCCTAGTTTTGTCACAGCTTTTCTTCCAAGGAGCAAGCATCTTTTAATTTCATGACTGCTGTCACTTTCTACAGTGATTTTGCAGCCCAGGAAAGTAAAGTCTGTCACTGTTTCCATTCTTTCCCCCATCTATTTCCATTAAGTGATGGGACCAGATGTCATGATCTTTGTGTTTTCAATGTTGAGTTTTAAGCCAACTTATTCACTCTCCTTTTCCACTTTCATCAAAAGGGTCTTCAGTTTCTCTTCACTTTCTGCCATAAGGGTGGTATCATTTGCATATCTGAGGTTGTTGATATTTCTCCCAGCAATCTTGATTCCAGCTTGTGATTCATCCAGCCTGGCATTTCGCATGATGTACACTGCATATATGTTAAATAAACAGGTTGACAGTATACAAGTTTGACATACTCCTTTTCCAATTTTGAACCTATCTGTTGTTCCACATCTGGTTCATGGAACCCTGTGTTGAGCCTGCTCCAGATCTGGAGCCAACAAAGAAACCAGCAAGTTTAACGGGCTCTTCCTGATACCCTTCTCTCTAGCATCTCTTAACCTGGGACCACAGGAATGAGTGAAAATGAGGGGAGTAGAGATAAATATGTGGGAAAGTATTGCAGGAGCAGACAATTTAAATGCTCTTATTTTTAACCAGTGTTTTATTTTTAATTAATTTTTATTGGAGCATAGTTGCTTTAAAGGTTGTGTTAGTTTCTGCTGTGCAGCAAAGTGAATCAGCTCTGCGTATACATACATCCCCTCCCTTTTGGATTTTCTTCCCATTTAGGTCACCACAGAGCACTGAGTAGAGTTCCCTGAGCTATGCAGGACGTTCTCATTTGTTTTCTATTTTATACATAGTAGTGAGTATGTGTCAATTCCAGTCTCCCAGCTTATTCCACTTCTCTCCGTTTCCCTGCTTGNTCGCCAGTGTCTGAATCTTCCAAATCTCTAAGAACACTGCCTGTATGTGTCAGAATTCTCACCTGGCTTAAGGCAAAAAAGAAGTTCTTCTGCTTTCAATCACGGAAGGATGTGGGCAGGAGGGGTGCGGCATGTGAAGTACACTGACTACTCTCCTCAAATAATTCTCACTTCTCAATTTCTGAACTCTCATAAACATTTTTTCCTCAGTGGATTTCTTTACTTCCTTTCTTCTTCTTCCTTTTTTTTTGGCTGGGGAAAGAAACTTAACTTGAGGTCTATCCTCAACAGAATTTCAAGTATACAATACAGTACTAACTACACTACCCTATTGTGAAGCACATCTGTAAAACATTTATTTTGGGTAACTGAAGCTTTATAGTTTTGAAAGAAGAATTTAATTTTTTAGGAAAAAAAAAAACTAATTTCAAAGAATAGTATCATCCAGTGTGTGCTCTCAGTCTACAATGTAATTAAACTAGATGCTATTTAAAAAGATAACTAGAAAATCCCAATTATGTGGAAATTAAACAGCACACTTCTTTTTAAAAAATTTTATTGGATATAGTTGATTTACAATGTTGTGCTAGTTTTAGGTGTACAGAAAATTGATTCAGTTATATGTAGCAGATACTCATTCTTTTTAAGACTCTTTTCTTATATAGATAATACGAGAATACTGAGTAGAATTCCTTGTCCTTGTTGATTGTCTATCTTATATAATATATCGTGGCATGTGTGTTCATTCCAGCTACTGATTTATCCCCTCCTCCCCATGTTTCCCCTTGGGTAACCATAAGTTTGTTTTCAATGTCTGTAAGTTTGATTCTGTTCTGCAAATAAGTTCATTTGTTTCTCTCTCTCTCTCTCTCTCTTTGGGGGGGGGGCTATGCTGGCCCTTCAGTGTGGCATGCAGGCTCTTTCTCGCATCATGCAGACTTCTCTAGTTTTGGCATACAGGTTTAGTTTCCCAGTGGCATATGGGATCTTAGTTCCATGACCAGGAATCAAACTTGCATATCCTGCATTGGAAGGTGGATTCTTAACTTCCATACCACCAGGGAAGTCCCAATTTGTTTCTTTTTTTTTTAATTGCATTCTACATATGAGTGATATCATATGATATTTGCCTTCCTCCATCTGACTTCCTTCACTTAGTATGATAATCTCTATGTTCATCCATGTTGCTACAAATGACATTATTTCATTCTTTTTTATGGCTGAGTAATATTTCATTGTATATATAGCACCACATCTTCTTTATCGATCCTCTGTCAATGGACATTTAAGTTGCTTTCATGTGCTCACTATTGTAAATAGTGCGGCTATGAACATTAGCGCACATGTATTTTTCAAATTATGATTTTATCCAAATATATACCCAGGGATGGGATTGCTGGATATTATAGTAGTTCCACTTTTAGTTTTTTAAGGAGCCTCCATACTGTTCTCC